ATTTAATGAACAAAAAGAGACTCACAGGAAATCCTAGGAGACATCAACATATAAGAGTACATACATGGAGAAGGAACATAGATACACACAAACAGACGGAAAGACAAATAAGCAACAACAACAAAATAAAAATTGACACATAGATGAACAAACAACGCAGGTGGATATTTATTGATAAACATGCCGGAAAAGACGCAACAAAACAGTCCCCTTGAACAGAAGTTTGCACACAAAATTTGCTTTAATATTGAGATGCTTTCAATAATGTTCTGCTTTTTGACACCTGTATGGGCTTTGCACTCCTTTCAACGCTGTGTGGTTATTAAGGAGGAGGGACCGAAAGGCGTGAGCCAAGTGGCTGTAGAGCCAAGTTAACTCCTCACGCATCTGAAGTTTAAGATTGCAATCGAACTACTCTAACGATCACGTTTCCAAGACAATCACAAATACAACCGACTAATTCAAAGTCTAACTTTTTTTTAATAATATCATTGAGACACTTTTCAAGACGCCCACCTTTCTAAGACAACAACCGTTATCCTCAACAATGGTGACCGTCTTGGACAATTTCAATTCCGTTTTAGGTTTCAATCAAGGCCGTATGATTGTGTGCCATATTTTTTGTCTGACAACAACTGAGCGGATGGCGCGCCCCTATTTTTTCCTGATCATTTCCACCTTCTTTGTGGAATGCATTTTGTAATAAAATACCACAGAGGCTTGTGTACCGTGCGTGAGGAGAATAGATAGGACTGCAGCGTGTCTCATGAATGAAGGTTCACTCAGGGAACTGAGAAGTCTTTTATAATTTGTGTTTGGAAACATTAGAAAATGTTTCATGTAAGGAGGCTTGGAGTCCCATTAATAGTGCATGCAGCAGCGAAACAATTCTGAGCTAACATTTTACGGGAATATTAACACATATGTTTTTGAAGATGGGGCAAATAAGAGACCGGTTGTGAATGACTTGGCTTCGCTTCTTACACCTGTTTAAAATACAAAATATTATTAGACTATGTTATTTAGCGGAAACAGATTTTTATATTGCTTTATATCTGGGATTGTAGATGGACCTACTTTGAAAGCAGTGACTGGTTCCCACGGTTACATGGTATACGGATGAATTGAACAAGATTCATGAATGCATGTTCTCGTCTCTTACTTCTTACCTTTCTCCTAGTGGTGTACAAATGAATTGGACCAAATTGATGCAATCATATTTTCACCACACATTTTACTCTTGTTTACTTCGAAATGTACCATGGCGGCCGTTGTAAAAGTGAAAATGCACATTATGAGCAAAAGTGCGTCATGCCACGTTTACGAAGATGGTCACTTCAGCTATTTGACCAATTTTCAAAATAGAAAGATTTACTTGTTTTGTATATGATTATTCGTTGAAAACCCAATTTCAGTACGTTTTATCTTCTAATTCATTTGACGCACGGTTTGGTTTGCAAATAACAACAACAACAACAACAACAACAACAAAGCAACAATAAAGAATAATAAAAAACATGCACATTTGTCGGCTCTGAATATTATTATATAAACAGATTACAACGTAAAAGCGATATTTGAAAGTCATAAGCCTTTTCTTAGAGGTAGTTTCATCCGTTTATAATGAGTGTGAGTCTCCTCAGTCCTTTGCTGGACGCTCCAGAACATCTGCCATACAAACATGTCGTGCTTCTTTCATTCCCGTCTTGTTCTTGCCCGAGACCTAGCATTAACATAATATTATAAAGAACTGCCGTTTCTGTTAACTCTCGCACTGTAGCAGGTGGCAAAGAGTGCACAAACTCGCACTTTGCACTCCTCTCCCAACAACCCCGCCCTATTTTCT